GATTAGTAGGTGTTAAGTAGACCCCAAACAGTTTGTTCAACTTGTTCCCATGATTCAGCTGTCCGAAGTTCGTCCCAAATACCGTACATTGCACCTAACACGTTATCTTCATGTAATATACAGTAACACCTGTAACACAATTCCCAGTTAGTTATATAACAACACAAGGATATTTACTAAGTTTATGACAAACTTTTTATTTACTTACATTGTACGGTACGAAGGAGACAGTGCTTTCTTACTCGTACCATTCTCCCGCGACATCTTACTTCTGATTAATGGAAGACCGTAACTTTCTAGAAGCTTCTTGAAAAGATCAACGTCTCCTCTAAAGACGTCCAAGTATATTGGTATCAAGTCGTAGATGGGATCTCCTGCAAGTTCCTCACGCTCTTTCAGTTTCAGAAAAAACTCTCCAAATTTGCGGTTTGATCCCCATTTAGATTATGAATTTGGAGTAAAACGTACCTATGGATAAATCGCTGAAGTCGAGAATATGACTGGGACGCCATGAATTGTGTTGACCATTGACAGAATTATCATCTGCGTATGGTTCCATGTGAATGTTGTCGTCCATGACATCTGAGTGTATCCAGGTGCAGGCCTTGATTTCATCTCCACCATCCGTGTCCTGTGATCCGATAATAAGGTTATGCTAATCCTCGAAACTTGGCTGTTTTTTCTTAAGGAGGTAAAAAGATTCATGAAAAATAGAAAGAGAAAAGCAACCTTGAACACATGGAGCAAATCTACAAAAAATTCATCGGGCATGTATTCGTCTATCATGTTCATCAGAGCACGAGGAATAGGATTTCCCCTGAAAGGTTCGAACAAAAGAAAATCGGCAACAGTGAGATTTTTGAGAGAAAAAAGCAAATGGAAACAGAGTTATGAGGATACTGTGAAGAACACTTTAAGAAGCATACCAGTTTTCCAGACGACCAGTGACGTCCTTCTTCCTTTGGCGCAGAACATCGACAAAAACTTTCCATTCTGGTAGAATGTTCAACTCCTCATCATGACCATCATTCGCAATCAATAATTCAGGACGTGTGACTGGTGGATATGGCAGTGAATGAAGGTTGCGTAGTTGTTGTCCCAGAAAGGAAGCCAAGTTATGAGCGTCATTCCACGTCAGGTCATCTCTTCTGCAACAGCAGCTTCAAGTTAGAGATCATGCATTTGGTTTCCAAGACGCATAGATTAAATAAGAGAAAAAGAGCACTCACAGTTGGGCAAATATCTTTCCTTTGCATCGTTTTGTTATAATATACGGCCAAACATGCGAACTCAATGAACTGAAAGAATCAGATGGTGGCTTCCCCTGGTTTCTTTGTTCACGTAGTGTTTTGTTCCAAATACCAAATGGGAATTCACTGTTTAGCATTGCTGCATCAAATTCGAGATTGGAGCTAAAGATAATGTCTGGGATTTTCTTGCCATCCCACCGGACAACTTTGTAAGATCCTTTTTCAAAGAAAAGAATCCCGCTTGCCAGAACATCAGGGATATGGGTTTTCAAAGGAGAACCTTCCCGGCCAAGAATGTCGTAAAACTCGAGCTGCACAAAAGAAAACATAGAGTTAGAATCGTAAACAGATGCCACGAGTGCTACACTTTTTATATAAAGATTACTTGCCTCAGTTCCAAGACCATACATAGATTGTTCCAACCCTCCTTCGACAAACAGTTTTATCGCATAGTCAGACAACAGATAAACCTAACAGAGACAATAAGGGAAGTCAGAACAAAAAGGATAGATAGTTCAGAACACTAAGGAACTTTTGTGCAGAGGTTTATAGGAGAGACGGTCAACTCACAGGATTGCTGCCAGTTCCAACTGGAAGCTTTTCATCTTCGGTGACCGATGGTAAGTTGTGGAAAGTACATACTTCCTCTAGGCATCGCAACCATTTCTCAGCATTTAATGCAATGCATGCTCCCTAAGATGAAAAAACAAAGAAAAAGACAGAATTGATGTTGGAGAGAAATTTATAAGCTATAAACTAAAACTTAAAAAATCGTAGGAATTACCTTCCATATAAGTTCTCTCATCTCAGGCTTCAGAACCCATAGCTTGGATAGCCAGCCCCTCATTTCTCGTTGACCTACAGAATTCCCCATAGACCATGGGAAATTGTAATGGTCTCTTTCTTTATCAAGAAACGAGGACAGAAAATCAATATCATATGAGAATCCATTCTTCCACATATTGTATCTCTTCGAGACTCCATTAACATCATCTTCTTGGTTTTCAATCTCCCCTCCTCCATTCATCCGTATCCTCTTCTCTTTCCTGGTATGGTCTGAATAGCTCAAAGTATTGTCGTCCTCATCGTGTGTTTCTTCTTCCGAATCTTCAGAATTTCCATCATCAAGCGCAAGAAGACCAGCACGACAAACCCCTTTGTGATGGTAACCAGGTGCCATATCCAAACATACGAACCCAAAGTTTTCTTTGTTCACAAAATTCTGAGTAACAGCCACTGTTGGTTCAAGATTAAGGATACAGTGCCACCAACCACTTGGAACATAAATCGTTTCACCAGGTTCTAATGTGCACTCAATCGGTTTGTCTTCCTCGGCAAGGAGAGGATAATAGTCTAACCACCACTGTGCATGGATCAAAACTATTAACATGATACAGAAAAGAACAATCGAAATGCCAATGCTTGAACAATTCAGCGCTATACCTGCAGAGATGAGGGGGTGTCGATGCTGACATCACCATCATCTTCATTTACATGGACTGTGACGCCTAGCGGCACTTTTCCAGGGGGATACAATGCCCACCTATTTTAAACATAATGATGTCATCCTCAAAATCACGTATAACCTAATTCCACTGAAGCAAAGGAGAAAGGGAGAACAATATCGCAGGGAACAAGAACTTAAAGCAGGAAAGGAGAAGAGAGATATATGTATAACAAAAATGTCCACAAACAGAGATCAAGAAGTGTATAGCGAGCTTGACCACAGTCCCTTATTAACACAATCTTATGAGATCTGATAACTAAAATGGCAACTACCCGTATTAGTTAAAATTATAACCACTAACAAAATCAAATTTGACTTTAGTTCATAGGTTTGGAATGCCATTAATCAGTTCTACATTGTTGTCCTAAATTGTATCCGAGGCTTGAATATATCTGTTAGAAAAGGAGGCTGCTAAGAATTAGAAAACAAAGTACTTATTCAAGCAAAAAGGCGTCTACCTTTTCCGACCGCAAAGTAGGGTGTTCCAGGCACTGGTAAGAGCTGGATCGACATGCCAAGATGCACCAGACCTCTCTGGACCAACTATAAGCCATCTGTATGGTGGACGACTTTCTTTGTCTAAGATCTCAAACCAATCTTCTTGAAACAAATGAGGCACACTATAGTCTTTCAATAATTCAGGAGCAGCTTCTCCAAACTACATGAAACGTTGAATCCTCAAAAAATTTCACGACAAAGTTTTGGTTCTGCTGCAACTCCATCACTGATGTGAAGAAAGTTTAATATAAATTACAAATTAATTTCTGTACCCTGTCATCAAAAACGTATAGAGGATCTTCATCCCTCTGGAGTTTCATGTATGAGATGTAATCCTTGAACTTCATGGAAATTTTGTTGGGACTCCTCTGAGATATTCTAAACGGGACCTCACCATATTTCTCTGATAGTTGGTCGATTGTCCATGTATTACTGGCTGGCCAAGAATCAGTGAGGCCAGAGATCAAAACCTAAGCCATAGCATAGACAGGAACAACATCACAAAAACTCTCATGTCTGGTAAATGTATAACAGAGCACAATCTTCTGTTATTAGCACAACAAGACACAACCTTGCACATATTAAAGGAACTAAATTTAGATCAGCAAATGAAATGATTGGAACATACAGGTTTCTTGGCGTCGTATTCCTTGGAAAACTCATCCACGGAGATATCTCTCCTACGTTCCACATTCCCGTTATCAAAAGAAAACCCGTCAAGAGATGTATTACACCTATAGAATCGTTTATACAAGTACAACGAATTGAATCCTGCACAAGAGCAGAATCCGTGAGGAAAAAAAAACGAGAGAACCAACATGATCCGGAAAAAAACCATCCATCAAGATTTTACCATCAAAATGCAATGGCTTTCTGTATGCATCATTTTCCTGAGTAACTCCTTCTCTGATAAGCAGAAAACCAGTCAGTCTACTACAATTTTAAGATAAGCACGCAAAAGAAAACTCGAGGGAGAGAGTCTGATTAACTCCCAACATTAGCCAAAAGTAGCATATCTAAAGATAATTCGAACATTTCATTGAACATTAAAACTCAAGAGGTATACTTACAGATGCAATGTCGTTTTCTTCCAAGAACCTTTGTACTCAAGTGGACCTTTAGCTCTTTTGAGACACAAGCTCATCCACAATGGCTCTTCGTTACATAGAATATACATTACACTGCATAACAAACAAAACATATAAATCCCTGAAGTGCCTCAACGAAATCCTTATTTGTTGATTAGCAATCCCAACAATTACCCAACGCAATGCCAATTCAGCTAATTAAGACTCTAATTTTGATGCTAAAATCGATCAATAGTCAAAAAATCTAACCTGCTGACGCAAGCGAGGTGGGCGATGTCTCGAGGAGCAAGGAATTCGAGAAGGACACAGATAGTCTCATCTGGGAGGACACTGAGACTACCGAGAGCATCTGGTCGGCGATCTCTCTGTCCAAACACCGTCGTTCCATCACCGGAATGATTCATATTTGCTGCTTTCCCACGAATCTCGATTCTACCCTGAGATCTGATTACTTCGAAGCGCTGGCGCGTGATGATCCGAGTCTCGTCGTGTGGTCGTCACCGAGTGCGCGGTAAATGGCCTTGGGCACACGTTCGTTGTAACGCGTTTAATGTAAGTTATGGTGTCGTTTCAAACGAAACGAATCTGATAAAGAAAGAAGGGATCATCATCGCGTTTAGATTACGCAAATCGTTTTGTAAGCGCGTGAAACGCGGTTCGAAACTTCGACATCTACACGACGACGTTTTACAATCCTTGTGCGGCACAGACCAACGGCACGTAGTCTTTGCGCTGTTGGGCAAAATATGTTGAGAAACGGCACGTAGTCTTGGACAGAACAGAAACATTTTTTACAACCAGACTTTTCATCAATCGGTTTTGTTTTTTACTTTGTCTCACATGTTTGGTTCAAATGATTTCAATATCAAAAGATTGGTAGTAAAATCTAAATCTGCCATTTGTAAATCTTTCTAATGGGAGATACAGATTTTCAGCCACTAAAAAGTTGATTTGGTTTCACTTGTTTTGGATATGTATAACTTGGGAAAATGTGTACAACCAACGTGCCTATCATCATCACTCTTTTTCTTACTTATATAAGTATATAACAAACGTTCGTCACAATCCATCATCACTTCCTCATTCTTTCTCACAAGCTTAAACCAAGAATGGAACAACACGCCGTTTCTACATCACGGAAACGACATGCAGTTTGCATACCATACCCAGCACAAGGCCACATCAACCCAATGCTGAAACTAGCCAAGCTTCTTCACTCCAGAGGCTTCCACGTCACCTTCGTCAACACCGACTACAACCACCACCGTATCCTCCGCTCACATGGCTCCCACGCTCTGGAAGGTCACCGCTCGTTTCGATTCGAAACCATCCCCGATGGTCTTCCTTGGACCGACGTCGAAGACAAGCAAGATATGCTCAAGCTCATAGACTCCACCATTAACAACTGTTTATCACCATTCAAAGAGCTCCTTCTCCGGTTAAACTCTGGTTCTGATGTACCACCGGTTACCTGTATAGTCTCCGACGCTTCCATGAGTTTCACGATCGATGCAGCGGAGGAGCTTAAAATCCCGGTGGTTCTTCTCTGGACGAACAGTGCTACTGCTTTCATTTTGTATCTCCATTATCAAAAACTCATCGAGAAAGAGATAATTCCTCGTAAAGATGAGAGTGATTTGAGGAAGCATTTAGAGATGGAGATAGATTGGATACCTTCGATGAAGAAGAAAATTAAGCTTAAGGATTTTCCAGGTTTCGTCTCCACGACGGATCCTAAAGATCCGATGCTTGATTTCATCTTACATGTAACCGGAAGATCCAAACGAGCTTCTGCGATCATCATCAACACTTTCGATAACCTCGAGGGTAATGTTATCGAATCGTTGAAATCTCTTCTTCTTCTTCCTCAGATCTACTCGATTGGACCGCTTCAGTTCCTTGAGAATCGTGAAATCGATCGGGAAAGTGAGATCGGGAAGTTGAAATTGAATCTATGGGAAGAAGAAGAAGAGATTCAATGTTTGGATTGGCTCGATTCGAAAGCGAAAGAGACTGTGATTTACGCTAACTTCGGGAGTTTAACGATGTTGACGAGTGAAGAGCTGATAGAGTTCGCTTGGGGTTTAGCCGGAAGCGGGAAGGAGTTTCTCTGGGTGGTGAGATCCGGTATGGTAGACGGTGACGCTTCGATTCTTCCGGCGGAATTTATATCGGAGACGGAGAATCGAGGGATGTTGTATACAGGCTGGTGTCCTCAGGAGAAGGTACTCTCGCATCCATCAATCGGAGGGTTTCTAACTCACTGCGGATGGAATTCGACGCTGGAGAGTGTATTCACCGGTGTTCCGATGATCTGTTGGCCGTTCTTCGCCGATCAGATAACGAATCGGAAGTTCTGTTGCGATGAATGGGGGATTGGGATGGAGGTCGGCGAGGAAGTGAAGAGAGAGAAAGTGGAGGCGGCGGTTAGGGAGGCCATGGACGGAGAGAAAGGTAAAAGGTTGAGGGAGATGGTGGTGAAGTGGCGGAGCATGGCGGAAGAAGCTTCGGCTCCACCGTCTGGTTCGTCGTATGTGAATTTTGAGACGGTGGTTAATAAAGTCCTTATAGGTTCCGAGTAAATCGATTGGTTTTGGTTTTGTTCGGGCTTAAAAATTAAATGGGCTTTAAATTTTAAAGGCCCATTTTGTTATAGACGTTTCGGTGTCGTTTGGGCTCGCTTTAAATGAAATTAAACTAAACATAAAACTTCACAATTTTTTACCCCAAAAAAGGAGGAAAAAGGCGATACACTTGCAATCATCTATAC